CCCAGGTGGGTCTTGAACCCGTGGGCTCAGGCAATCCACTCACCTCAGCCTCCCAAAGGTGAGGGATTACAGGCTGAGCCACCAAGCCCAGCTTACTCTACTTGATTTTAAATTTTGTTAGGCCTGTTTGTTCACTTGCTCATGCTTTCTCTTTTGCCCATCCTCATGTCACTAAACCAAAGGAAAATTATCTCCTCAGTACCGTTAACAGGTGATGATCATTGAATTTTAAGTGTACATATAGGATACTATTTTCATATTCATAGTGCCATTGCCTTGCATAATATATACCAATTAGACATTTGGGCCTTTGAAGATCTGAAAGCAAATCTTATGTTTTCCTTCCAACAGATTGAGTTGTGAGGATTACAAGAGACAGTTGATGTTCCTTTATAGCCATTTCTGTTTCAGTATTTTGAATAGCTAACATTTATTAAGTGTTTACTCTGTGACAAGTGGTTTATATTTAATCCTCATAACAACCATATGAGGTATCCACTATTATTACCACCTCCATTTTACTGAAAATTGAGGCATAGAGAGATGATGGATTTTTTCCCATGGTCATATAGCTAGCATGTGATGGAGACAGGATTTGAACTTCTCCTTTCAGAGCTCATGCTCTTAGCCACTTACTTGTTTTATTCATTCAATAAATATATATTGAACACCTGTTATGTAGTAGGCATTGCAAAAACATCCTAAAGAGTATAGTTTTTATTGGTTCCTCACATCCCTTTCCCTAATAGTTTAAAATAAATTATAGTACTATGTTGGCCTCATTCTCCACCGATAGGCCAAGAGTCTCTCAAAAAAATGGGGTATACTAAATACATTGTTATATCCCCAATATCTAGAATAGTGCCTAGGACAGAATAGGCACTCAGTAAACAGTTCATGAGTGAAGGAATGAATAACTGGGAAGAGGGAGGAAGGAAGAAACACAATACACCTCCTCCAAGACTTCTATTAACTTTTTACTTATCTTTAAAATATCTCCTAAAGATCACTAACCCCTCTGGTACTGAAATTTTCATTGCAGTAAGGATTGGGACAGTAAAGTAAATGACATCAGTATTTACTTCAAGTAAAAACAATTATATGTCAAAAGATCCATGGCTTTTTGGTTTTAGTGTTCACGTCTTACTATATATTCTTATTACTATCTTATCCTCTTTCCTTTACCTTCTCCATTTTAAAAATGCACTGAGCTTTCATTGGTTCTTTACTGTGTTATATACCTCTGTGATGTTTCTCCATGAAAAATTAGTCCCACTATTTCAGATTTCAAGATGGAAGATAATGGGGACTCCTATATTCTGCCTTACATGTAGTGCCATGAGGAGATAGTAGACTCCTGGCCCCTCGTCAGTGGCTCATCTTGTTTATCAGAATTTCTTTGAATTTTGTTTTGGTTATTGACTTTATCTCATAATTTAAATCCTTTTATAAATATTGAAGTGAATTAATAAAATCTAGAAATGTTAGAAAATTTTCTTTAGTTTCTCCCTTTCTTTTTACTCTTGACAGTTGAGCATAGACATATTAAACATGCAGTTTCTCTTTCCCTCAGTAGATGTAGAATGAGACCCCCAAAAAACCCAAAATTGCCTTTTGAAGGGTGGGCCCCTTAGTACAGGCTTCCCCCACTAGGTAAGTGTTCTACAAACCCATCAACATTTTTGTGAGAGTATGAGAGGCAGTGTTTGCCTTTTTTTTTTTGGAGATTCTTTCAATGCATTTGCCCATTTCATGAGGTGACTTATGAGCATACCTGCCCACACCGCACTGAGTGTTCAGCAGTTTTTGACCCAAAACGGCATGACCCCCATGCCCCACCTCACTGTTCACTAGGTCTCGCCCCAAATGACTTTGTTTTGTTTCCCTGATGAAAGAAGTCCTTAAAGGGAAACATTTTGCTGATGTGGAAGAGACGAAACAAAAAACAGCAGAAGCACTGAAAGTCATCAAAATTGATGAGTTCAAAAACTGTTTTGAGCAGTGGAAAAAGTGTCTCAATAGGTGTATTGCATCAAATGGAGAGTACTTTGAAGGTGACAAGTTTACACATGTAAGAATATACAATTTTATAAAGAAATTCTGGTTTTTTGGGGTCACCAATATATATATGCCAAAGACTATAAGTCATTAAAATATCTGTATAATATCACTATTAAAACATTGTGGCTGAATAATATTCATATCTTCTGTTTCTAGCAATGGGTATTTGTGAATATCTAAGAAGCAAAACTCTCACTCATCACTTTATAAAGAGGCAACTGTATACTATGGTTAATAGAGTGTTAGGTTAAATTCTCTGGAACCAATGAAGTCATGTTCTCCATATTTGTTGTTATTGGTGATTATAACTCAGATGATTCTTTGTACAAATATCTAAATATTCCTATTATTCACTGTTAAAAATAGTTGTATTATCTGATTATTTTGAGCCCAAACTTGGGCAGTTATTCTCTTCTAAGCTTAAAACTTAGTTCAAGTTCATTTTTTTCTTAGCAAGGATGTTAAAATACTTTATACAATACTTTGGATTTGGATGGGGTATAAGAAACAAGATCTTTGAGTTCCTTTAAATTTGACTTCTAGTGCTATTTTGTTTAATAGCAGTACTACTTACTAAAAATACTAAATAGCATTTTTTTCCAATTTTATAAAACAGTATCTGGGCCTACATAAATAATATTTATGTAAATAACAATGTATAATAAATAAAATATGTATATATTTTTAAAACAGGGTCTTGCTGTGTCACTCAGGTTGGAGAGCAATGGTGTGATCGTGGCTCACTGCATCTTCTAACTCCTGTAATCCTCAAGTGATCCTCTCACCTCAGCCTCCCAAGAAGCTGGGACTATGGGCATGAACCACCATGCCTGGCTAATTTTTATTTTATGTAGAGATGGGTTCTTACTCTGTTTCTGAGGCTGGTCTCAAACTCCTGTCCTCAAGCAGCCCTCCCACCTCATCCTTCCAAAAGCACTGGGATTACAGACATGGGCCACTGTTCCCGGCCAAAATAATATAAATATTTTTATGTGTAAATATATGTAGTGCTACATTTGTATCCAAACACTAGTATAAATTATATATACACAATACTTTATAATTATTTGCATTTTTATTTTTTGGCTCTGTAACACTATTTTGATACAAAACCTATTCTAATATTATGTAAGCTATATTTTAGGGTTACATAGCTCTATGTTATCTTAATGATTTCTTTTGAATTGGCTGCTTACTTTTTTTTTCATATCTGAACAGTGTGTGGGTTTCAACAGACCATGATGAAATCGAAAATGTAGCCAAACAATTTGGTGCACAAGTTCATCGAAGGAGTTCTGAAGTTTCAAAAGACAGCTCTACCTCACTAGATGCCATCATAGAATTTCTTAATTATCACAATGGTATGAGTTTTATTAATAGTTTATTCAAACATTTATGTAATTTTTAACAAATCTTATAATCACGCAAGACTTGTCTTAATATTTGAATTCAAAATCTTAGTGTTACTTGCTTACAAGAAGTTTTATGTCCTTTTTTCTTTTGTCTTCTCAAGAGGTCGACATTGTAGGAAATATTCAAGCTACATCTCCTTGTTTACATCCTACTGACCTTCAAAAAGTTGCAGAAATGATTCGAGAAGAAGGATATGATTCTGTTTTCTCTGTTGTGAGACGCCATCAGTTTCGGTGGAGTGAAATTCAGAAAGGAGGTAATGTGTTATGAGTCTTTATTTTAGCTCATTTTCTGGTGAATCAATTTTCTTAATATGGAAATATTTTTTAGAAGTGAGGAGAGTAAAAAGGAAGAAATAAGAGGAAATTTAATTCATAACTTTAATAGCTAATGACATTAATAATTAGTTCAAAATCTTTTTATTGAAGCAAGACAGCTAGACCCAATTCGTTCTTTACTTTACTCTTTATAAAGAGGCATTCTGATCCTCTATTTCTGTTTACCTTTTAAGGCAAACATGCCATTTTTCTAGATTAAATGCTTTTGTGTTTATTCTAGACTTTTTTGATGAACTCCATACAAACAATGGGAATAGAAAGTATCTACCAACGAGTCTTGGAGGACCTCAAAAATGAAATTTTGGACTTGCTTCCCCAAGTTTGTCACTCTTTATATAAGAAGGGCTTAATAGGGTTTAGTAGGAGTCTACTTTCTAGCTAGAGAAGCTAGCAAAATATGTGATAAATAACAAATACTTTTTAAAAAATATACTAACAGATAGGTATATGTAACATTTGGGGAAAGACTGATTTCTTTTAGGTACCCTGACATTTGTTAAATATAGGAAAGCTGGCCTACTTGTCTTTAACATGGGTAACTTAAAGGAGATAATAAGAAAAATGCAATGAAACTGAAAAAAGTACCAAAAAAGGCAATTAAGATAATCAAGAGGATGAAGATGGTCTGAAAATAGTGATTTTTCCAATCTCAAAATACAAATGTTATCAAGAGCAATAAAATATACCAGTGAATGCATTTACTTGACTTCATTCAATAAACATTTATGGTTTCTTCTATGCTAGGTTCTGTGTTAGCCTGTATGTATAATATTTTGAACTTACTCACCAAATCTCAGAAAAAAGATATAGGAAGTATCTCTTACATCTTAAACAAGCTTTTTTAAGCAAGTCCGGGAAACTCAAAGTTCAACTGAATATTGAACTTT